TTGGTACTTTTTTTGGAGGTAATGCACAGACATTGCTAATCAATGTTCATTCGAAAGAGGTATCCAAATGCTTTCACAGTATCACAGTATGTTAGAGATTGGAAGGGACCTCAAAAGATCATCTAGTCCAATCCCCCTGCCGGAGCAGGAACACCTAGATAAGGTTACACAAGAATGCGTCCAGGCGGGTTTTGAATGTCTCCAGAGAAGGAGACTCCACAAGCTCCCTGGGCAGCCTGTTCCAGTGTTCTGTCACCAGTGTTCCTAGTGATACTGGGTGTTTTATGAACAAAATGCTGGTGTTCACCCACTGTCAGCTCACTTATCTTCAGCATTCACCTTTTATTGTTAAATAACTAAAGATCTTTGTGATACAATTCTTAAAAGTAACTGGTTGCAGCAAACATATTACAGCTTAGAAGGAAAAGCTGGATTATAAAACAAAATTTTCTTTAAAATCTTGTCTATACTATGAAAATATAATATTATATTTTTTCTATACTATGAAAATATATAATATTTTCATATTCTTCAATACAATGATATAAAATAATTATGAAGATACAGTTAATAGACCAGCCACAATGTCATACTTATTGATCAGATACTGCTACGAGTACAGTACATCCTTAAAAAAATTTTTGTTAACACCTATAGAAATGCCATTGACTGTGAGAATGTGCTCTGTTTTACCCTTTAAATGAAACAGGGAGATTCCTTCTATTTTCTGCATGCTTTCCTCTGCTAGCAGTGGTGTATGGACAGGAGCTGTAAAGAAGCGGCCTTTAATTGTTATTGTCAGAGATGCTGAAACGGAGTGCTGCGAAACAATTCTGTCTCTAAACTCATTGGCTTCCTTCTAGAGGGTTACTTGGGGACTGGGGACAGACTTCTGTATTTGCTTATCTTTCCTGTTGCTTTTGGAGCATGATTAGATTTCAGTTGATTAAATGAAATGGGGAAAGCTCTGGGGAAAGAAAGGGGAAAATGTTTAAACCTGCTATGCTGTTCATAGGCTCAGCATACCACAGAGGATGCTCTGAATATTCACTGACTGGAGATCAGAATATTTGCCAATTATATTCTGATAATGTGTTTAAAACTTAAGTGAAAGAAATGTCATTTCAAACACATACTGTTTGAAGATCCATACTCAGTATTGTACCTGATGTTTGAAAGAATTGGAAGTTAAACAACACCAACATAGTGTGATTTTGAATGAGCATGCCTTCCTCCTAGCCCAGAATCTGAATCCACTCCACCTTTCTGAATGTGTTTCTGTCTGCCATCTCCTGCTCTTGCCCTGGCACTGAACTGACAGGCACATCAGCCCAGCAGCATGGGTGGCAGAAGCATCAGGGGCTACTGGTGACACAGAAATGAGGCACTCATTTCCGTCCAGCTCCCTGTGCCTGTGCAATGCATGATGAAATGAAGGGGAAGCAGCCCAACCCTGCCCTTGTATTCCTGCTGAGTGTCCTCTTTCCAAGTTGTGAGTGATGCCTAAGTGTTTCTGTAATTTACCTTGTGGATGAGTTTCACTGTCTGCTATCACATTACTGTCTGCTATCACATTTTACTTCCATGCCTTTAACTTTTGATAGGAAAAGATATGCCGTCAGTATTTGGTAATAATGGCAAACTGTCTGGCAAAGTTTCCAAGGTGGTTGTTACTTATGCACTCCATCATCAGGAACAATTCCCATTACTGTTGTTATCATCTCCTTTTGCTGATTAAATTAAAATATCTGCTTCAGAACCTGAAATGATATTAGGTTTCTGTAACACCCCATGCTGTACAAAATTATGATGGATGATGGTTTCCAGCCTGGACAAGCTAATGGATTAATTATTTTGCAGAATGGCCTATAAAACCTATTTGTTTGTGGTTTTGTTTGTTGGGGATTTTTTTAAATGCATTGGCCATTTGCATGTTATTTAGTCTGGTACTTTCTCTCTAGCAGCAGTAATTAACATGGCAGAATGTTTTAAATAAACAGAAAATATTTGTTCTCAATACTGATAATGTTTCAAAAACCAAAAAAAACAAACAAACAAACAAACAAAAAAAAAACAAACAAAAAAAAGAAAACACCAAACCAACCAACCCAGGAAACTTCCTTTAAGTTTCAAAGATGGTATTATACTTTCATAATGAAATGAGATGACATTATTGTTTCAAAGCCCAGTCTTTAATAGTAGTGCCTACTAATACACAGTCTTTCTAACTTCAGCCAGACCATTTTGAAATTATAAAGAGTTATAGAGGACATACAGTTAAATGGTGAAATATTATTCAGATGAAGAAATACAGATCTGCAGAAGGAAATACATCAAAAGTAAGAAAATCCATGGACTTTGAGGTCAGCAGCTAGCTCTGATGTAATCTGATAGGTTTTCATTTGGAAAATGAGGTCATTGTTGAACAATTAATCTTCATCATCTTACAGCACCTCCTTGTTTTCATTTTATAATTCATAATTACCTTCATTGCTTTTTGAAACCATGGAGAAGAAAAAAACAAACATGCAAAGGGATCATAACAGAAATTGGATAGATAAACCAAATAGACATCAAAAGCAAGGGCAGATCGGGAGTTATAAGGATGCTGAATATATTGTTTAGTGATAGTTGTGAAATGTGGTGTCAGAAAATGGGGAAAGCAATCCTGGCTATTTCCAGAGTTTTAGCAGCTTTTCCTTCTCACTTGTTTGCTCTGCCACTGTTACTGTGCAAATCAGTCCTCTGGGCTCTGTTTTTCCCTCTCTCCATAATTCCTGCCTGCTGTTTAGCCAAAAAGGAAATGTAGCAACAATCACATGGTGTTATGGCATAGTCCTTGTACAGCGGCATAGGTGGTTGTAACCCATCAGGAGAATAAGGCTCATCCACTTCAACAGAAGAAAACTGTAAAGACATATTATCTGGTGAGGCTCAAAAAGAAGTGGCCAGTTAAGTGTGTTCATGGCAAATACCCTCTGTGATCTGTTGAAGACCAGTAGAAAAGATATCAAAAACCAACTAGAAACTCAGTGGAAGTTCACCTTCTCTATTGCTTTGCCTGCAGTGAGTTCAGAGCAAAAGGCATCATTGAAAGATGTTATTAAGGTGCACCTACAGCCTGACCGAGTTTGAGACTTGCAGATTTCTATATAGCTAAATGTCTAAACTTCTATTACATGCCTTGTTTAAGCTCAGTGCTCCACAGCTGAATATCTAGTGCAATTTTAGATGCCCAGCTGTGTCCTGTCTAAATGCTGCTTCATTGGTGCTGGACGCTATCCCATGTAGATGTAGCAGGTTGCCTAAGGCATTTTAGGTGGCACTAGACAAATGATTCATATCCTGTTAGTATTCACTAACTACAGCCTGAGCTTAGAAAGACATTCTGGCTATGCTATCATCAGTGCATACCATAATTATGAACACCTACCCATACACATTAAATTTAAGAGTCTTAATCTAAAAACTCGTCTCACAGTCCAGGTCTTTCAAGATGTACCACAGCTTCCCTATATATTTCTATGGTAATTTAACACCTGAATGTTTCTAAGAATCCAATTCTGCCTTTCACTCTTTAGCCTGGTTGCTTGGGTTTGGTACCCTTGTTGTCAAAAATCTACAGCTATATGCAGTAGGGGTCAGATTTTTGCCTTCTGCTACAGCATGAGTGAACAGAGGAACAGCAGAAGTAGCCATGGCTTCTGTCCTAAGAAACAGTGAAGATTAATACAGCAAACTGGGGGGATATCAGATACTGAGAGAGTAAAGTGGGACTGAATGATGCTCCAACTCCAGACATAAGGCTTCATAAAGGTCCCAGTTTAAAAACACCAACATTTTACAGTCACTTTCTGTTCAGAACATCCCTGAAAATGACACAAGCCCTCTTTCTCATCTCCTTCCTCCAGACATATGCTTTAGTGTTAAATATTTTAAATACTGATATTTTTTCTGATTTTGGTCTTAAGATTATGGTTAAAACTAAAGAGTTTGAGATAAACAGGTATCAGAGCAGATTACAACATCTCGAAGCTATAGCTCGTTTGTACTAGTAGAGGAAACTTTCTTGCCATGCAAAAAGCATAACAATAAGATAAAAAAAAAGGGGGGAAAGTTTTACCATTTAGTTTATTGCATACATTAAAACAGTCAGCTGCTATGAGAATCACAGTATTGCGTTGATTTCCCACAGAGTATCTGCTGCACAATTCCTCTCTTTTGTTCTTACACATGTGGGGCCTGATTCAACTGCCTGCAGCACCCAGTGAAAAACTGTCCACTTCTTTCAGTAGGCTGTGGGGCATCTGCTGGTCTCTTGCTGTTAGTTGCATGCTTTCTGTTGTCTGTTCTGTTTGTGTTTGTCACTCAGAAAATATGCAGCTGACTGGAATGACCTGTTTTAGAAGGCACTAAATATTTGAACAACCTTCAAACCTAGAATAGTTTTATATACCATTAACAGAAAGAAAATTATTAGAGCTGCTATTTGGCTGCTTGTTAATTTTGTATAGAAGAGTTACTGCTGCTTAGTACAACTTTTTTTTCTGATAAAATATTAATAATAATGAGGTAGAAAATAACTTGCTTATGAATAGTACAGAACTTCACCAAGCAGCTTGCTGTTAAACAGAGGTCTCAACTTACCAGCATCTACAGATTTAAAATTGGCCTTGTGAAAGCATATAAACATAGCTGATGTAAACTGAGAACCTATGCTGGCATTTTTTTGCACAACCCAAGTATGTAGGCATATGTTGTGTCTGTAAGCAGACATTTCTTTGGAAGCAAGCAAACAAAAGAGCATGTGCAGTCTCAGGATTATCATGGAAAAGAAAACAAAAGAACAAAACATAAAACATCATGACACCTACTGGTATCTGGAGTTGGGGTATGCTGTGCATTCCGTGTCCTCTTCCCATTTCTTCTCCCTGCCTTTATGCAGTAGGAGTAGAAAAGATACAGAGTAAGGCAAAAAGGGTGTTCATAGTTAGAGGGTGTTCATAGTTAGGGAGTGACCTCCTTGCACACACAGATCAAGCAAGCACATATTCTATGGGTTTCAATAAACACTAATTCAGAATAGTATCTCCCATATGTAGCCTTTGACACAGGGGCACATCCCTTGGGCTAGAAAAATAGTGCAAAAAATAGTGGTGTAACTGAGGAATAGTATGGACATGGTCTTCTTTGGAGTTGGCTACAGCTAATTTTCAAATGTGTGTTGGAATCACATAGTGCAAGACCTTAATAAGGTGAGCCTGCAATGTGTTGTGGAAGGTGAGTCGCAGAATGGCATGTATATTTAAATTGCGGATGTGCCCAAGCCAACTGTTAAAAAAAAGTTATAAATAAGAAAAGAAATACTAGCTAAATGAATGTTGAAGAATATTCGTGAGAATATATATGTATGAAATAGCCTACAATATTTTCTACAGTGCACATGAAAGCTTTGGTCATTCCTGGTACAAGTCTACTGTAGATGTTCTGGAGCAAAAGATCCCATGAGTTAAGACTAGTTTTACAGCTTTCCTGAACCAGCGGTAGGAAAATACATAGATCAAGGGATTGCAGGCAGAATTGAAGTAAGCAAACCAAATTAGGATGTCAAACAGAACTGGGGGGGGTAATGAAATCCAGAAGACTGTCTACCATAGTGTCAATAGTAAAGGGAAACTAACACAGGAGGTAGACTCCTACAGCTACCACAAGAGCCTTTGCTGCCTTTCTTTCACTCTTAAGTGCTCCCACGTGTAGCTGAGAGCCTGGCTTGTTTGTTAGCCACAGTAAATATTTTCACATACAAAACTATCATTACAATGCAAGGGAAGAAAAATACTGGGAAGTTCAACCACCCCCAGAGCTTGTTGAACAGCAGCTGACAACTACCAATACAGGGCATGTCTTTCAAGAAATGGTCCAGTCCTTCTACGATCACTTTAGTATAGAGGAGGATAGAGGTATAAGTCATAGGCACTGCCCACCCCACCCCAATGTAAATGAAGGCCACTTTGATGGTGAACTTGGTGGGGTAGAGCAGAGGTTCACAGATAGCACAGTACCGATCAATGGAAATGAAACAGAGATGAAATATGGAGGTCAAGCAAAAGACTGTGTCCAGAAATGTGTGCAGCCTACAGAAGTCATCTCCAAAATACCAGCAGCTCTCTACAGACCTAATGCTGCTGAAGGGAAGCACAGTCAGTCCCAGGAGGAGGTCAGCAAGGGCAAGGGAGAGAATCAGGAGGTTGGTGGGCTTGTGCAGGACTTTGAAATAGAAAGCAATGATGACAACAAGGAGGTTCCCCAGCACCGTGAAAAGCGTGCCCAAGGCACAGGCCACATAAATGGCCAGCTGGACTCCAAAGGGGTATAAGGTCCTGTAGCAGGAGCCATTCACCTCATAGCAGAAGGTGACGAGCATCTCCTTCTTAGAACTGGGGCTCTGGGGTGAACTCATGCCAGCTTGCCCACGTCCCATTGCCTCCCCCAGCTCTGCCACAAACCTGGAAAAGGATTCACCTCTCAGCAGAGGTGCCAAATGACTAACCTGAAAAAAGGTGATAAAAAAGCAGATTAGAAGGAGAGATGTCTTTTAATCTAATACTTTTATTGAAGCCATCAGGCGGTTTCTGTATTTCAAGTGAAAAAATGAGCCTGATTCCTCTGCTTTATATCTCGCAGCTCTAGATCTATGTATTCAATTCTTGTGGCAACATTTTTATATTACATTTTGGTTTTCTTTCAGCGAATACCATTGGTAGTGCAGGAAATGCAGCAAATACAGAGGTGTGTGAACAAGCAGTCAATAAAGAGAAGGCCTGCCTTAGAAAGAAAACCACTGCTGAGTAACAGGCATTGCAAGCCAAAGCTCCTTAAGGGATTTGAAAGCTTATTCTAGTATAATGGTACACTAGTTCTTTTGAATTTCCCTGAAAAAGAAGTTCAAATTTAATTATGGATCTTTTTATTAAGTAGAAACTGTGAAGTGATTATTCTAAACCAAGTAGTATCTGATTGCAAAGGGAAACTCTTCAGGCCAAGTGGCTTATTTTATAGTGTTCTGGCTATGGGGATGTATGTCGATATTCACTGTGCTGATTACATGAATAGGCAAGGCAAACAGAAATATTGTTATATGCCCTAAAGATTGCCCCTGCTTTTTACTTATGAAACTGCTATTTCAGTTTTAAGGTATACAATTTTTTATTTGAACTGCAAGAAACATACAGTATTAATGTATTATAATGGATTATTAGAGTAGTCTTTTAAACAAATCAGATAACTGAATTATGATTTTTGACAGTAAGACAACTACAGTTAAACACATATTTGTCTATACGTACTATATGTATCTCTGTTCTTGAAATGATTGATATAATAGCTGGAAATTATTCCCACTTCTCCCATCCTTCCCAGCAGCAGCAAAACATAATAGCAAACTTCTCAACTGTATTTCCATAAACTTTGAAATCAGGAATACTTACAGTAAAATTTCTCTTTTCATAGAATGAAAGCTGTACTGCAGTGGACAGAAATCCTTTTCTATGTACATGTCTACTGCCTGAGTGGAAAGCATGAGATTACATAAACCAGATAGAGTCCCTATAGGTGACTAATACGCCTTAGGGGCACAGCGATACTGTTGTGTATTTGGCAAAAAAAAATGCCATTTTCTAAGAAGAACTTTAAATGCACATGTGCTAAGCTGCTGTTGAAACTGCATAAAGATTTACATCGGTGTTTGCTGTGAATTTTCTTTCTTTGTGTGTTCTTGCAAGAAAATGCAGTTAATGCTAGCTCATCCTGGGGGGCATCAGTGACTCTCACCCTGTGGGGGAGTTCCTTGCCTGTTCCTGAGCCTCAGTCTCCCTAAAACCATGCCTTTCACTCCAGAAGGAGGTACATCAGGTACCTCTGGATTTTCCTTGCTTCCCCATAGCAGTCCCCATTTCTGTTCTGCAATACAAGCTGGCAGAAGAGGTGGATCAGCAGCTTTCACTCCTGGATGATTTTATGACATTTCTTTGACACAATGGTCCATTTTAACATTGACATTACAGAGACAAATATCACTCAGGAAAGTCCTAAGTTTTTTATCTTAGGCAAGATATGGGGTTTCAAAACAAGCTTCCCATTTCTCAGTGAGTGTTTTCCTCATGCTCAGATCCTCCACTCTCATCTCCTGCTCAGTCAGGGCAATCTCATACAAGCTCCTTAAGGAACTCTGATGGTACATCTCTCAGAACTTGTCCTCCTCTTCCCTGCTTTGCAGTTAGTTATTTTACAAGGTCTCCAATATGACCGTCATCCTTCATCTTCGCTACTTTGAGTTTCTTAGGTTAAGAAGTTGCCTGCTGCCCAGCTACTCTCATATCTCTCTTGATGCTTTTCAGACACTCTATGCCAAAGGCTGCTGATGCCCAGCAGAGAGACTGTTAGAATAACACTGAGGCAATTGTCTAGACTGAATTTTTAATATGAGAAAGAGCAAAAGTCAGCTTTGATTTCCTTGTCATTCTGTTTTATATCAGGACATGCACAGCAGCTATTAGAATAGGAATTGAAAAACTCCTACAAGAGCAAGAGCAAGATTTATTTTTTTTTTCAGTTTTGCTTCAACAACAATTTAAGGCAGCATTTCCACAGTGTTAAAAAAAACAGTGCAAAAAGGTATTGACTGGGCATAGTTCTGTGAAACACTGTGCTTAGCTGGAGACTTGCTGTAAAACTTCAGAGTTTGGTTGGGTTTTTTTTGCCTTTTCCTGTTTCCACATTTTAATAAGTGATCATTTATATTAAGATTGTCAGAGGCTTTTAAATAGCTCTTGATATTAACAATAGCTTTTGTTCTTGGTGCTCTGACATTTTCATTAGTTTTAATTCTTCCTGTATTTTGTATGCAATAAGGTATTATTCTATACAAGTACTTTGTCACTGAAATTCCAGGTACAAGCATGTCTTGTCGAAATACTTAACCTGTCTAGCTAGATAGCTGTCATGATGCTTCGGAAGTGATTATCACCACCCCTAAAAGGAACAACATGAAACAAAACGATCTCAGCTTGCCCTTCCTGTACACATTACTTCTTGGAATTCCTTTGCATTTTTTCCCCTGCCTTCTCATCTGGTCATGGGAAAAAAGATCAGTTCACAATTAAGAGAAGGCTCAAATATTGACAATGTAGGTCTTTATTCTTTGGAACAAGAAGAGCATTTAACGTGTACCAGTTTCAAATGTAAGGATGCTATCATAAAATAGAAAATGCAATGATACTCAAGATGTTTGTTCTATTTACCCTTCATTCTTCAGACAAAGCTGCTGGATAGTCTCAAACTCAACTTCTGTTGAATGTACTATGCAGCCTAGTGTACCACAGGAAAACACACACAAAAAAAATAGAAGTATGCTATCTGATATGGTTTGATCTGCAGTGAAGAAGACATGAATAGCCACTATCTTCTTATATTAAAACTCCTGGAAATAATCTCTAAGATCTAAATTCATCTAAGCAACCTTTAAGTCTGACTTCTTTATAGAAGAAGACAATTTCCAGGGATTATGGACTTTGTAAGAGGGCCATCATTAGTGCCCCTTTGCTGTGAAATTTTTCCTCACAGCTTCTGAAAGAGTTAGTCTGGGATCCCTAAATAGAATAGAGTAGCATGAGAAGGCTATGGGCTTACTAAATTGACCTACATTGAGCTAGCAAACATAAATCTTCAATCTTGCATCAAGTCTATTACAGCCATATATTGCTTATAGTGCAGCCTTTTTTTTCTCCCTTCTAGTAGTGAACAGTCATCACCTCTGGAGAAGCTGCATTCCGTATGAGTGTTTTATCATTACTGCAGAGTGGCAGAAATGTTTGTAGAATAAATACTCACTCTGCCCTCATTCTGTTAGGTGTAGTGCACCCAACCTCTGTGCAGACAGAGAGTCTCCAAAGGGTGCGGTATATGTATTTTCTTCATATTTCTTACACAAATAGCAACATTTGCCCCAGTTTTGAAACTATCAAAAATTCTTATTCACAGTACTCATAATAAATTGTTCCACCTGCTGCATCCCATTTTTTATGTGCTTTTATGTTTTCCTGCTCTTTGTTAAACTGGTCTGTGTTCTGTCCATTGAAGTGCTTTATAGGACACACCTATTTGAGCAGTTTTAGAAGCAGTACCTCTGTAAGTTAACTGTGGCATCTTAAAAGTGTTAAAAGTGGAAGTGAAGACAGAAAGAGAACTCCTCACTGGTGTTCTCCATATTGGTCCAAATTAGTCAACTCAAGGATTAAAATCAAGGAGATTATGGATTAAAAAAGAGTTTTAAAAAATGATATTTTAGTTCAGGAAGTTAATAAAAAGAATTACTAAATTCAAATATTTTATCTGCTATCTGAAATTAATGACTCACATATTTGTTTCAGTCTAAGATTCTTTCAACCAAACTTAAAATGTTTTTCTTTTGATTTATTGATGTTATTATCAATTTATTGTCTCCTCTTTTTTTTTAAATCATTTATCTGAAATTTGAAATTAGTAATATCATCCTAAAGTGAAATATGTCAATAATTTACCACTTTCAAAACATAATCTTTTTCTGTCCAGACTTTTTTTCTGAATGTGGCCACAGAGTGCATTTTATAGTGAAGTTGGTGTTTAGCGATGCAGCAGAGAAACTGGGAAAGATATGACAAAAGAAGTCAAAATACACACAGAAAAAAGTTTAATGTGACATGATCTGATTCAAGAGTTCTCTGAAGAAGAATTCATTAATAATAGGTGTTGAAGGTCATCCCAAGGCTGCAAAAGAGGTCTGCATGTACAACCTATTTAGCCCTTTGCCAGAGATCCCAATTCTTTTTGCTGTTGTTTGCAGTGAGCAAAACACATCTCAACTGGGACTAACCTAATCAAAACAAGCCATATGTCAATAGTGTCTGTTAATTCACATTAAAAAAAAAAAAAAATTGAAGCTTAAGATATTTTAAGCTGGTAAAAAAGAAAAGGAGGAGGAGAAGTGTTGCTCTGCACAGCACTGGCAGAACAAAATGAATAAAGAGTTAATGATGAAATACCAGCCAGCAAGTAGCCCAGCCTGTGAAAAACATCAAATGGCCTTCAACCATCTGAATGTGGTCCATGCAAAGCTGCCTTTTTTGCACGGGGCAACTTTCTAGTGTCACAAAGTGGACAGCAGTGGCTGAACTCTCCAGGGCAAGGAGCAGGAGAGCACATGGCAGGTATTAGTTTAAAGATCCTTTTGCATGTTAAAATCCAAAGCTGCTTTGAGCACTGTTTTTCTCCATCCTACATTTTGGTGTAAATGTGTAATTAGAATACAAGTGAAAGTACTTCTCCTTTCTTAAGAGGAAAAAAAAAATAATTCTTGGGGTTTAGCTAAAAAGTCATGGGTATCTCTTGAAGTGCTTTACATCCTTTTCTATATCAGTTTTCTCTGCAATGCTTCATTGATGCTTTGTTGCTGCTGCAGCCATGTAGAATGACACACAATTGATCCAGCAGAAAGATTATTTGAATAGGTTACCTACATGGAAGAATAAGTAAATTATTTTAATATATTAGTTACAGTTGTATATGCCTTTTCGTCAGGAGTTTCTTGGAACAGTTACTTTTATTACTTAATTATAACTAAAACTGATTAAAATGTGGGTTTTTTTTGTAAAATAAAACCCCAATCTATACCTGAAAATTTGATGCTGACCAGTTAGCATTAATTTACCTGAACTTATCAGACTTCTTTAGTGCATTTTAATTTTGAATGGAAAAATAATGTCTGTAAATTAAAACCTAAAGATCTAAATTAAAGTTTAGATCTTGAAAAAATTATTTTGGAAATGCTACTGCAGTGTCTCTAGAGAATTACATTTGGATGTTTTATGCTATTGCTTACTTAACCTGCCTGCCTTCAGAACCGTAGTTATATCAAGTGACTTCATGCTAAATATTTGTTACATGCTCTGCAGTATTAAGGTATAAACTAGAAATCAACACAGAGCTTGCAAAAATAAGTGAACCTGTTTCTCAAAAAGTTTTCAGCTGGTGTTTTTGCAACCCAAGGATTTTACTTTCTTTTTTTTTCCTTTTTTTTTTTTTTTTTTTTTTTTTTAACTCCCACCTGTAAAGCCAACTGTATCCTGGGCTGCATCAAGAGAAGTGTGACGAGCAGGTAAAATGAGGTGATCCTGCCCCTCTACTCTGCTCTCATGAGACCTCACTTGGAGTATTGTGTACAGTTCTGGTGTCTTCAACGTAAAAAGGACATGGAGCTGTTGGAACAAGTCCAGAGGAGGGCCACGAGGATGGTCAGGGGACTGGAGCACCTTGGGGGTTGTTGGGGCTGTTCAGCCTGGAGAATTGAAGGCTGCATGGAAACCTCGTAACAGCCTTCCAGTATCTGAAGGTGGCCTACAAGGATGCTGGGGAGCAACTCTTTTATTAGGAAATGTAGTGACAGGACAAGGGGTAATGGGTTCAAACTTAAACAGGGGAAATTCAGACTGGATATAAGGAAGTTCTTTACTGTAAGGGTGGTGAGGCACTGGAATGGGTTGCCCAGGGAAGTTGTGAATGCTCCGTCCCTGGCAGTGTTCAAGGCCAGGCTGGACAGAGCCTGGGGCAACATGGTCTAGGGTGAAGTATCCCTGCCCATGGCAGGGGGCTTGGAACTAGATGATCTTAAGGTCCCCTCCAGCCCTAACCATTCAATGGTTCTATGTCAGTATGGTTCTCCTTAAAGCTGCTTTTGCCTGTAGACTCCACAAGGGGGTAGAAAATCCTTTCCCACAGTTTATGCTGTGACAGAAAAGATCGGGGAAATAAAAAAACCGTGAGTTTAACTATTCTGACTGCAAGCAGGCACTACAGATAATACTGCGAGATGCTGAGCTGCATACCATTTAAAAATAAAAATATAGCACTTTTTTGAATAAAGTTGACTGGCTTTGAGGACAGCTCTAAGTATTATACTTAGAGGCATTGCAAAAGGGAGGCTGTGGGTAGATTACCTGCTGGGATGCTTTTAAGCAGGTCTTGCTGTCCTGCATGTCGAAACTAGGATGTACCAGAGAGGAAAAGGATCATGGGGGTCTTCTCAGACTGAAGAGCCTACCTGGATGTGGGAACTTGAACTCCCTCCTGAATCCAGGACTGGAAATATATTCTTCAAGGGCAATATTAGCTCTTGATGGAATCATTCACAGTAAAAAATGTACAAGAAGTCCTAACACTTCTGACTGCTTCCCTGAGGAGTAGAACATGGTCGAGGTTTAATATAGACCAGAATTCATGCTAAAACAGTCTACCATGCAGGGTGGAAAATAGATTAAATGGTGAGCATGTGTTTCAGAAAAACGAAATAAACCAAAACAAAACAACTTGCCATATTGATATTTAAGCAGAGGAATAAATAAAAATATCTACAGTGCTTGCATCTGAACATAAATAGTACACCCTATTGAACTAGATGTAACAAATGTTGTAGTAAAAACCACAGAAACTCAACTCAGGTTCTCCTGTGCACCAGCAGAAAAAAATCCCTGTTACTCTGCCCCAGGTTTTGTGCAAAGCAGTGCTTTGTTTAGCACCAAGTTTAGCACCAGCATCAAGTTTAACAGCAGGTGAAAAAGCATGGCATGCCAGAAAGTCGTTCAGGGACCGAATCCCACCATCTGACAGATCTGACAGTCCCCTTGGCCAGAAGAACTACCAAAGAAGATCTAGCTGCAAGCTGCAAGTTGGGTGCCAGGACTGACTAAGTAGATACTCCTTTAACATCCAAGGGCATACACTGGACGCACACAAGGACATAACACACTGTAGCCTCACAGATAGCTCAAAAGTGTTCCTTGGAGATTTCTGGGAGAAATGTTGTCTTTGTAAGAGATGTAATGTATTGGGCTGAATCTGAATGATTTATGCTATATATTAAAGAAGTAATTAAATTCTTAAAATGTCTGACTGCATCATATGTCACCAGCTAGACATGTAATACGTAGAATTTTCAGAAATTCCTAAATGTGGACTTAGAGCCTTAATTAGATATCTAACATTAACTTAACAGAATCATAGAATCATAGAATCAATTAGGTTGAAAAAGACCTTTAAGATCATCAAGCCAACTGTTACCCCAGGACTGCCAAGCCCACCATTAAACCATGTCACTAAGGGCAAACGGATGTCCCATCAAGATCTCCCCTTATGGCTGCCCCTCATTATCTCCAGTTGTCGCCACCCCTCATCTGTCTTGTAGCAGCCAAAGATGTACAGCTGCTGTCCCTAACCCCCATGCCAACCCTCACACCCAATGGCTGATGCAGCTATCCTCTCATGACTGCCCCTCACACCTCATGGCCATCCCTCACAACCTATGGCTGCCCTTCTTTCCACTCACAATCATCCCTCATGATCTCCCCTTGGGACTGCCCCTCCATTCCCCTCATGATCTCTCCTTGGGGCTGCCCCTTCATTCCCCTCATGATCTCCACTCAAGACTGTCCCTCATCTACCCTCATGATCTCCCCTCATGGCTGCCCCTCTTCTCCCCTCACATTCTCCCCTAATGGCTATCCCTTCTTTCCCCTCACGATCTCTCCACAAGGCTGTCCCTCCTTTCCCCTCACTATCTTCTCACAAGACTGTCCCTTCTTTCCCCTCACGATCTCCCCTCATGGCTGCCCCTTCTCTCCCCTCATGATCTCCCCTCATGGCTGACCCTACTCTCCCCTCAGTATCTCCCCTCATAGCTGGCCCACCTTTCCCCTCACAATCTTCCCTCATGACAGCCTCATAACCCTCATGGCAGCCCCTTCTTTTCCCTCACAGTCTTTCCTCATGGACACCCCTCCTCTCTCCTCATGATCTCCCCTCATGTCTGCCCCTCCTCTCCCTTCATGATGTCCCTTCATGGCCAGTCCTTCTTCCACCTCACTATCTCCCCTCATGGCTACCCCTCCTTTCTCCTCACAATCTTCCCTCACTGCTGACCCTCCTTTCCCCTCACAATCTTCCCTCATGACCACTCTTCCTCTCCCCTCACAATATCCCCTCGTGACGGCCTCACACCCCTCATGGCCCTCCCTTCTTTCCCCTCATGATTTCCCCTCATGGCTGCCCCTCCTTTCCCCTCGCAATGGCCCCTCATGGCTGACCCTCCACTCCCCTCATGATCTACACTCATCACCACCCCTCTTTTCCCCTCACAATCACCCCTCATGGCTGACACACCTTTCCTCTCACAATCTTCCCTCATGGCAGCCCTACATCCTTCATGGCCACCCCTTCTCTCTCCTCACGATTGCTCCTCATAGCTGCCTCTTCATTCCCCTCATGACCTACCCTCATCGCCACCCCTCTTTTCCCCTCATGATCTCCCATCATGGCTGCCCCTCCTCTCCCTTCATGATGTCCCCTCAAACCACCACTCCTTTTGCCCACAATCCCGCCTCATAGCCAGACCTTCTTTCACCTCACGATCTCCCCTCAAGACTGTCCCTCCTTTTCCTTCACAATCTCCCCTCATGGCAGCCCCTTCTCTCTCCTCATGATCTTCCCTCATGGCCACCCCTTTTTTCCTCTCACAATCTCCCCTCATGGCTGCCCCTTCATAGAATCATAGAATAGTTAGTGTTGGAAAGGACCTTAAGATCATTAAGTTCCATCCCCAAGTTCCAAAGTAGAATGAATGTCTTCATGCTATCACATACCCAGTAAAAAGTTTTCAGAAAGGAAATGACCAGCCATAAGCCAAGAAGAGAATAAACATGTGAGTGGCTTTTTGGTAGTCACACTTAAGTAAGGGTGTACACCGTATGCACACTGTGAATGGTAAGTCAGAGGTACAACTCTGAATCAAAAGACTGCAGCAGCTGCATGACAACTCAGCCAACCTGATTTTAAGCATGTAACTCGTGTGAACTCTGACAGTGACTCTTACTGTCTTAAGAGGAACATCAGCATGGCAAGGACCTCAATTAGAGGCTCCAGTTCAGTATGAAAGTATGGTGGGCTAAATAGGGTGGGCTGTGAGCAAGCAAATTTTATAACATCTTGAGGCTGACATCTAAACAAAGGACAGACAAGCACATACCTGAGTGTAAGCAGTACTCTCATTCCCAAGTATTCCTTCCCAGGTACAAAGCACATAGAGGATAGGGGCTGAAAACCCAGTTTCGCTGTTTTCAGGGAAAAGATCAACTTCAAGCCAAAATTACGTCCAAATCCTATTTGCTTGGGAATAACAGCAGACTCTATACATCTGCTAATGTCCGAGTCACAAAAGGGTAACAGAGTCTCACCATATAAGCCTAGGATGTACTCAGTTTAGGAGATTGATGGTGAACCTCAAGAAAGATTAGATGCATATATACAAGGTGAGGTGAAATACTGAGTTTATGGACTGCATTTTGGTACTTTCTGAAGTTAGAAAACCAAATGTATTAAATATTCTAGAAAGACTTAAACTTCTGAAATGCTCTCAGGGTGTTAAAAAGAAAACACAACTGGTAAACAAATATATCAAACAAGTCTGATTTTATTAAAGAAACAATCAGATGATTTTACAGGACTGAATTAAAATTCATATTGTGTGTTTCAGGATTTTACTAATATGGATAATTCATATTATTGAATTTTGAATATTCAGCAATTTTATATATATACATATAACGAATATTTAGTAACCCACAGTTCTTCATTTCTAGAGCTGCTGTCTGTAGTAGAATCTATTACTGTGACTGATCTTCATCTAGAAGTTCTATTGTACAAAAATATGGGTTAAATATCTTGCTTTTTAAGATATATTTAAATGTTTTCTGAAACCATGGATAGAAAAAGCCATATATTAATGGATTTCTGTATATTAATGGATTTCCTATCTTTATTCCCAGAAAGATCATTTGTCTTATTTTTTGTTTGTCTTTGTGCCTGGCTCAACTCACATATGTGCCTTTGGGATACTGTAAGAATTTTAACATAAATCCCTATCATTATACAAGAAGGAGCAAGTAAACCAACTGTGAATAAAATAGTCCCCCATAGTTTGTTGAACATAACAGGACATGAGCTCGAGCATTTAACCAGCATTTCATAGCTCTTAATTCCAGAAGCGTAAGCTTCTGAGAAAACCACACCAAAAACAAAAGCCACAGGCACTGACCAGCACACTACTAGGACTTGTTTTATGGTGATGACAGTTATGGTGCTGGTGTAATGCAGAAGATGGCAGATTGCATAAAACTGATCCACAGCAATGGAACTAAGATGGAAAATGGAAACTAAGCAGAGCATGAGGTTGAAACTGTAATGAACTTTCCAGAATGTCATCCCAAAATACCAGTAGTTCTCCACAGACCTCACCATGCTATAAGGCATAATGGCAAAGCCCAGCAGGAAATCAGTGACAGCCATGGACAGGATGAGGAAATTGGTCAGAGAATGGAGCTGCTTGAAATATAAGATAGAGAAGACTATGGCCAGATTCCCTAAGATGGTGAGAATGAAGGCTGCTGTTATGTATAGGTACATTACCCCTTGTACTCCAGGTGACCTAAGGGTCTGAGAACAGGATCTATTTCCAAAGTCAGAGCAATGAGTCAAATCACTTGAGTTATTTGAAGAAAGCATAATCAATCCTTTATCAGACTTTTCTATTGGAGATGCTGTTCCATAGGCAGATTTATTTTCACAAGTTTCTGTAAGATTCCAAATCCTAACATGAGAATATAAAGTAAGTCAAGAGCATGAATTCAATTACTAAGTGAAATGCAGTAATTCAAATGCAGGTTTTTTCTTGGCTTAAACAGTGACCAACAGCAACCAATTATTTTTCTGAAATGGTACATAAAATCTGATAACTGAAAACTATTATAAAATTATTGCAAATAATATTTAAAACAAAGCAGATAAAAGTAAACTTAATTGAATCTTAAAATAACTAAATTGTATGATAACATGCATTTTATATTGTGCATTCTATTGTATCTGGAACATTTTGTAAAATATGGTTCTTGTATTTTACATACATCATAACATTAGTAATTTTAAACCATTAGAAGAAAAAGATGCATAAACAAGAAAACTTTCAAGTCACTTCAGTCTGTAAATACTGTATAGGAATTATTTGCCTCTTAAATCTTAGAATATTGATACTTTTTTCTATAGAAAAAAATATTATACAGGCTGACATACCTCAGCTTTCTTGGAGATTTCAGTTAATGAACTATTCAACTAAAATGCTCATCTTAGGAGTCAAAAATCAGTTGACAAAAACTTCCTTTCCCAAATTATCTATGATATTAAACTCACCTACTGTGGATTATGAAGTACTAGTAATGAACGCATCTAATGGAAATTGGTTGTAAAATTGATATGATAAGAAATATTATTTTATTTACCTACATATACACTTGTTTTCTATCATTACAATTCCACTAACTAAAAGGGAATGGAAATAGGATGAGTTTTGTCTCCTGTAGTAGACTGTGGTCCAGCTGCAGCAGTTATAAATGAATAAACTAATGAGTATTTTCAAGGGGCAGTATATTTCCTTCATTTATCTGGGGAGAGCCAGACCCATTTCTTCCACCTCTTTTCCTGATAGCTTGTTTTAGACTAAGAGCAAATTTAGAAACAGAATCAGAAAAAGATACTCCGCAGCAATTTAGCCTACTTAAAAGGAACTTGGGAAGCAGCTTGGTCCACGGAATTTTTCCAATAGGTATCACCCTGGAATTAAGAAAATACAGAAACAGAGCATCGAAAGATTGAAAAGAGTGCTTGGCAGTCAGTTTTATAGGACAATTCTACCTGCATCTCTTTTAATAATACCGTCAATAAATTCTTTAAATAGACATTTTCTTGTTTTGTTGTTCTCCTGTAAAACTGCAATGTCAGTAAAAGGCAGACCATCTCTGTAACTTGGCTCAGATCAATGAAAGGTGGGAATTTATTTTTTTTTTATGACATTACAGTTAATTTCCAGGAGATTTTGAGTTAAAAATATGTATATAATTTAGGGGTTTACATCAACAGGAGATAAACAAAGACAAGTGTCTGATTCCCAAGACCACTGTTTTTGCCTGCTCTACTAACTCATTTACCCAATGTATAGAGGAGCTATATTGATGAATTAAGGTAGATACAAAGTTATACTGAAATGAATGTTTGAAAGGAGAGACTAAAGGTGAAGGAAAGATATTCTGGCTTCTATTTATCTTAGTAGGCATTACATTCTTTCACGTTTTTTGGTAATTACAATTTCTAGTGAAACTTAGAAATGAAATATTTACTAACCTTGAAGATTACCATCTTGTAATTTAACAGGCTGCAATGGCACTTTCTCTCATGCTGACTGCATCTGTAGCTTTCATGTGATGTACGGAAAGTCTTCCCCCTCCGTTGCAGAAACAGATAAAATGAAATGTTAATTCAGGTCAGTCTATTATATGTTATTGGACAATCCATTATTTATAAAGAAATAAAAAATAGTACAGGTAGTATTTATTTGTTACAAGAAAAGACAAAATTAATTCATAGTTAATGTGAATAAATGGAGTCCTCTGAGGTTAGAGGTGGATGTTCAGATTTAATGCTGAGGCTTTTGCAGGTAGATTGAAGATGCATTACAAATCCAAAGGTAAATGACTGCTGTTCAGCACAGACGGGATTTTTATCTGTGATAGATAATGTGTAATGAGAACAGGGCAGAAAATAATAATGTCTTTTAAAATTAATTAAGGGAAAAATAAGAACGCTTAAAGGAGTCTACCTTTATGGTAGCTGCTTTGAAGACAAAAAAGAAAAATTTCGAAATAAAATACAGATCTCTGGGATTATCTACAACAGAATCATTTGCAGACTCCTAAAATAGTAAAATTTTATCAGAGTGTACAGCAGAACTGCTTTATCTTTGAGATCTGACGGTATTTTTGAGACAGGCATGTGTAGTAACTTTATTTTTAAGTAATCAAATGGGAGATATGCAAGTTTTACACAAATGATCCTTTACTGAAAGAAGTAACTAAACCATTAATCTTTGCAGAAAAATAAGAATAAAAAAAATAATCTGTGGAAAGAGGCTATAGTTGGAAAAACATTACCTTCAGAAAGCAGTGTTCCATGTGCCTCACCATTGATCCTTTTTTCAGGATGGGACAGAAGACAATGATGGGAGAACAATTTGACACCTCACCTTTCCAAAATGAAATGTCCAAAACCTGCTAAGAAATGTACAGGAACTGAAACCTTTTCAAAAGAAACTGTTTAACTGGGTTAAAACAAGACCACAGAAAGGTGGTCTTTGAGAACTAGTTATGTGAGGCACTGCTGTACTGTAAAGGCAGCATGGAGGGAAAATTTTTGTAGCCATCATTTTCTCTGGTAAAGCAGTTGAGTTTTATTATGAATGAGTTAAGCCTATGAGCTTCCTGCATGTTGTACCTCATAATTTCCATGCTGTTCTTAATTACTGATTGATTGGTGAGAAATATTTGGTTAGTTACTAACTGCTCTTATTCCTCTGGGCTGCCTTCAGCAAAGCAGAAATCACAGCAATAGAGAACAAAATGCAAGCTCAAATTTTCTCAATAGATGTTTTCTCCTGATGGCAACTGAGAAAGTATGAAGGGGTTAGGATGCACTTTGTTTTCAGTGATCTCTCTTTAACCGACAGGTATCTTCTAGTCAATATGTGGTGAGTACTCAGTGTTAAAGGAGATTGGCTTTTCCTATACCTATGGGAAATGAGAAGTTGAGACATCTAGGAGTGGGTGGTAGAGCTCCCACTGCCTAAGTTACCCGTGGATCTGGTCTCTTGGGAAATGATTTGCTTTACAAAGGCTTTTGCACAGTTATCACACAGAAATATTTTCAATTTCCCATGCAATTGGCTGGATTTAAAATGGCAGCATGAAGGTGAAAAGATCTTATTAAAACCCCTACAAAGTAGGAAATCAAACTTAATTGGAAAAATCTGTTATGCAAAACTATGTAACATTATGCAAGACTCAGCAATTCAATTTCACAGAATCACAGAATCGCAGAGTGGTTGAGGTTGGAAAAGTGCACTCTGCCCCATCATCCAGATCATTAATGAAGATTTTGAACAGGATTGAACCCACTATTAACCCCTGGGGTACACCACTAGCTGCTGGCTTCCAGCTAGTCTTTGTGTTGATGATCGCTATACTCTCGGCTTGCCTGTTCAGCCAGTTTTCAATCCACTTCACTGCTAATGCAGCCTACACTTCATTACCTTTTATATGAGGATCTAATGGGGGCCAGTGTGAAAAGCCCTACTGAAGTTTAGGTAGACAGTATACACTGCTCTTTTCTCATCTACAAGGCCAGTCATTTCATCGTAGGAGTTTATAAAATTAGGCTGCGTTTAACGGAAACAGACTAGTAAAAAAAGTGCTTACATATGCTGTAGGCATAATCTTTTTCTGAATTAGATGCAGTAGTGTGAAAGTAGTGTTATAGATAACTAAGAGGATCAGAAAAACAGAAGTAAAAGACTTGTAGAACACTAAGTATCTTATGTTTGACTGTATTTAATATTTTCTTCCTTGTTGAATGAGTATGAATGCATTGCAGATGACAGAGATGGTACAGTGTGGACAACCAACAGAAGTTAATGATTTAAGGAAAGCCATATACTTCACAGTATTTACAGTTTGACAGCCCATTCTTTTCTGTTTGAACACTGCACTGATGTATTTTTTTTATCGAGCAGTTTAAATCACCCCATTTTAGAGCAAGGGTTTCCTTGTGAGGCATCTAGAAGGGTACTGCTTGGAGGGGTGGTGCTCCTTCTCTTCCCCCATGCTACTGCATCTGAGACCATGAGAGAGACTCAGCTGCAGGTAGGACCACCGTGCATAAGGCCATAGCAGGTGGCAGCCTACAGACTGCAGTACTGTGTTATAATCACAAAAATACAAGCTACAGGCACTGAGGCAGAGGAACAGGCGCCAGACCATGACTCTGAAGTTTACTGTCACTTTTGAGCAAAGTATGAGAGGAAGGTGACATTGCAAATTGTGCTTACCAGTGGCAAAATGAACAGACATAGGTTTACTGGTGAAACAGAGCCTTTCATCATGCTGGAGTAATTGCTTTACACAAGTTTTCAGGGAAGTTAAAACATATGAAATCACCCACTGGAGACTCATTTGTTTTGCAAAAGGTGGCCATCTGGGAAGTGTTTAATAAGGTCACTAATCAAATGTGTTGATAAGGAATTTAACAATACCCTTTGCACTTCATTTCATGATGACAGTTTGAGATTGCACTAAGGTACATCCTGATTCACCAGACCTAACTCAGAGTATGATCAGACAACAGCATGAGGCATGTTTTCTTGTGCTCTCCTAATTTATCAAAGTCTTGGGTTCAAATAGAGTCCCTGCAGCCTCATTAACACATCTCATTTGTACTGTCCCCTCAGCAAAAAATAGCTTTGCCCTGCCTGCACTTACAGCTAATGAGAGAAAGTAACCTGAGACTTCATTAAAGTTGCTCTGCTAGAGAAGGCACTCTCTAAACAGAAGGCAAGGAGGGTGGGGAAGTGCCACTTTTAGTTAATAAGACACTAGAGGAAAAAGTTATGTCTGAAACTTTCTGAGTTGTGCCATGCACGTAGCTGACTTATAATGTAGGTTATTAAGATTAAGGAAAACTGTCTTCTGTGTGTAAATGAAGGTCACCAGCAGTCTGTGTGTGGAAGCCTCTTGTTATTTCTGCAGAGAATAAGTGTTGGTGACATCTTGGCTAGACTTTCCTGGGGGACATTTGTTGGTCTATACACTGAAAATTTCTTCTTCCACAAGAATTTGTCTTGTAGAATTCTACAATTTCTTCTTTTCCTTTACACTACATTGACAAAAAAAATTTCTGCCCTTTTGCTGCCAAGATATAATGGAAGAGCCTGACTAATCTGAAGCTTTACGTGCTGTATAAACAAATTTCTTTTCTAGCTGTGTCTAGATTATTTCAGTGCTAGTAATTTAGCATTGTTATGTGTATTTATTACTGGTTTTAGCCAAAGCACAAACATGGAGAGAAACATTTTCTGAACACTGGTTTAGTCTGCATGCCAGGAAACAAATATTGCTGTCCTCTTGTGTATATAATAGCATGTCCCTTTTGCAAGTCTGTCCTCTTACAAAAGTTTTTAATGAAAGTTATTTCAGCATTTGGCAGCAATATTCATCGTTGAAAATCTGCTTTTCCTTTAATTACAGAAAAGTAGTATTATTGTGAAAAATAAAGAATATTAGCATAGTAATAGTAAAATGATTGTTATGGTTTAAAATGGTTGTTTAAGTCAGAAAAATACTGACACTGCAATTCAGCCAGTACTAATGTATCCTATTTGCTTCAGGTCTTTGTGGCCTCTGATTATTCTGGACAGAACACAACAGCATAATTAATTTTTTGCTATATTGAAACAAATGTTATTACAATCACACCATGCCATTAGAAGCTAAATGGAAGCTGAATGTAGAAGATCAACTGTATCTTGCAAAACCCTGACAACTACCTCTTAATAGCCTGTGATATACAGAGGGATTTTCAAGTAGTGTCAGGCAGTGGAACCTGAGTGCGAGGGACAGGGTTCATCTAGAGGCACTCTCAGGAGTACAGGACACATGGAATCCGAGTATATTTACTTACTGTTCGAGTTGCCTTTTGCTTCCCCTTTTTTTCTGTACACTAATGTTTAACACCATCTCTGCTCTTTTTTACCTCACTTTATCACTTCATATACCTTTTCCTTCACTTTTGGTTAGTCTCTTCATGTTTCTTTTCCTGACTGTCATTCCTTCTTTCAATATGATTAAACAGTCTATGAAGCCAACCAGGAAAAAATTAAGGTGCTATCTCTAGTTTTCTTTTAGATTTAAAATATTAGTAACTTTTTCTCTATTTTTCTTTGACAGAGAAAATGTTTAGCCTAAAGAAATAGTCTCCTATGGAAACTTTTTTATGAAAAAAATCTTGCTTTCAGGGGATATTTTTGTTGTAGAGCACAAAGAAGACTTACCAAAAGACTGAGCAAACTGAGATCAAGTACACAATTTTGCTTGAAATGGAAACAAAATAAATCAAAACTCAAGTGGCAAACCCTTCAAATGAGATGAACACTGAAGAATTTTTCAGCAAAAAACAGAACACTTCCCTTCCATATTTAATTACAAAGTTTAAAATTTAATAAAATGGAAATATGAAGAAGCATATTTTAAAACCTTTTTCTCCTATCTTTCTCCCTTCATGCTGGATAGAAGTTGACATTTGTCACTCATTTGTTTTCAGCTGATTAAGTGGGGTTCCTTCCTTTTAAAAACCTTCTCAAAAGACAGCTTTGCATCTTCACCATCTTAGCAATTCTGGGTAACACAAATTTTGTGAGAACAGGCACATAATCCACAGCTGGAGTGGCTTCCAGAAACCCAAGGCTCATTGCTGGAGGATGCTGGGTGCAATGAATAGTGTTCTTGGCCCCTTGTCTCAGGAGCAGCTGTTAAAGTTGCTCAAACTGTTCATTTTGTTACCTACTTCAGAACAATATCATGGCTGTGATACTCATATTTGTTTATAGGTTTATAGGCCTTGTTTATAGGTAAATTACACTCATTTGAAGTATGTTTACTTTCTTGATTAAATGTTGTGGTCACATTGCGAGCAGCCCAAGTTTATCTAGGTGCAAAACAAAACCTGACATGTAGCCTCCCTTCTAAAGGGAGTCTTCTAAAGTAAGCTTCTAAAATACAGCAAAATATATATGTAGGTTACAGCAGCATATAACACTTCCTTGAAAAGGTATATTGTGTATAGAGTAACATGATGTGTATTTACCAGTCTAGTTCTGATTACTGAGGAAACAGGTTTAATCTAACAGTCTAATCAGTTAACAGCCATTTTCAAGATACAGCTGCTAAAAATGCATTTCAGGCGCATCAATATTTTTGCTCTACAAAGGACCATGCAGTCTTTCAAAACAGTGATACTACTGAACATAAAACGCTAGACTGTTTATATGGTGACCATCAGCTAAAGTCCAGTTATGTGGAGTACAACAGGGACATATGCAACCAAGTAGAGTAAGATACTACTTCTTGCGAATTTGTTTTTTAAACATAAAATAATTAAAATGGAAAACAGCACAAAAGGGAATGGAAATA